GCTTCTCCTCCTTCGATCTTGATCCTCCTGGTCGATTGATTTCCTCCCCCTTCAACTCGGCCTGTCTCTTTGCCAATTGTTTGTTATTGCTAACTGTTGTTTGGTAGCAGCTTCTCGAAGTGAGCTGATCCCCGGCAATCTCCCCTACGTTTTCGCCCACCGGATATTTGATCGTCATGTGGTACGTGGATACGACTGTCTGGAATACGTTCAAGCTCGTCCGCCCCATGATGATGTTATAGGACGACTCAGCCCCTACCACCACGAATCTCACCATGCGCACCTTCCTCAGCTCCCCTGACCCCAGCGCCACGGGCAAACTGACCTCCCCCATCGGCATAACCTCTCCTCCATTAAAGCCGTAAAGCGCCGTGGCTACCGGTTTCAGCTCCATATTCAGCTCCTTGTTAATCTGCACGAAACAGTCATAGAACATGACATCCACCGAACTCCCGGTATCAATAAATACCCTCTTTACATCAAAACCCGCAACCTCCGCGGTTATCACCAGAGCATCATTGTGTGGTAAAACTACCCCCTCGGCATCCTCCGCCTTAAAACTTATTACTGGCATGCGCGTTGTTATCCCCACCTCCTCTCTCTTTCTCTTCACCGCTCGCGCATGCCCCTTCCTCGATCTGTTCGAGTCACCATCTGTTGGCCCCCCAGAAATCATGTAAATCGTTCCTCTCTTCGGCGGGGCCCCTCCTCCTTGCCCTTCTCTATCTCCCTCCTTTCTCGACCTCTTTCCTCGGCCATCCCCTCCATCTCCTTCTCCATCTCTATCACTCCTCTCCTCGGAATCATCTCTACATCTCCTCCTGCCTTTTCCTCTCACCCTGTCGTGATAGACAAACTCCTTCAGATATCCTGCCCGAATCAACCTCTCAATCTCATCTTTCAAATGCCTGCAGTTCTCCGTGGTATGGTCGTAATCCTTGTGAAATCGACAATACAAATCCGACCGGGGCCGAAGTGGACCAGTGAACCTTGTCTTTGGCCAAGTTACGTCCTCAGTCGACATCTTCTGTTCCATGGCCTCGAGCACTTCTGTCATATCTTTCCTCAAAGGAGTAAAGTTGTGGTACCTCTGCCTCTCGAACACCATCGGCCTCCTATGCCATTCATCTCTCTTCTCCCCTTTCGCATCCCCACTCCCTCTTCGAGAAGACGCTCTCCTCCGCTCGCTCCTCTTAGGCGAGTTTCTCCTTGGTGATCTTCCCCTCGGGTGGTTCTGCTCCTTTTTTGGTTCTGGTTGGGACACCCCTTCGAGCTTTGCAAACTCCATCTCCATCTCCTCCAGATTGATGTATTTCCTGCATTGCTTTAGAACATCCTCGTATGATCGAGCCGGGGTCTTTGCCAAAGAAGTTCGGCAGGGCCCTGCTCGAAGACTCCTAATCAATTCTCCCGCTTTCACCTCATCTGAAGCAGAGTGCACTTCCAAACATGTTTTATTGTATCGAGCAACATACTTCCTCAGCGACTCCTTCTCACCCCATCACCATAAGGGTCAAGTAAGTCTTCTCTTGCGCCACCGCGCTCGAATATTGGTTGGTGAGTTTGCTGGCGAAATCCTCAAAATCCACAATCGACCCCGAGGGTAACTGATGGAACCAGTCAAGCGCCCCTCTGCATAGGGTCGATAAGAATGCCCTGCAACAAACAGAATCAGAATACCCATGCAACACAGCCATATTCTCAAAAGTCCTCACATGCTTCGACGGGTCCGGTGACCCGTCATACACCAAGTTGGGCTCCTTGAAATTGGCCGGCA